TTTTTTTACGCTTATGTGTTGTGAATGGGAACATGTAACAAATATAAAATTTAGCTGCAAAAGTGGAAATACCCTATAAACTGCCTGTCAGAAGACAGTGGCTGTCTTTGATACTGATCCATGGGCTTCAGTTCTTTCTGTGTTCTGACTTCACTCTAACCCATGTTTCTGCATATTTACTCATACTTGTGGGTCAGAGACCGGCAGGCAGCTAGCATTTTCCTAAGAAGGGCAGCACTGACAACCTATATATTTAATTCAGTTAAAGTTTGTTTTAACCTTGCCCTCGGCAGAACCCTCTAACTTAACGAAACCTGTCAGTATTTTTTTTTCTTTGCTGTCTATAATCCTTGGTAGGAATTTACCTTTATTTCCTTTGCAACATATACAACAGGAATTTTAGTAGTTAATGGAAAGGGATTTAATTGTGCCACATCCTGAATATATTTAGGTATGCAGAAAAAAAGAACAGAATAGTGGACTTTTAGGCACAAGTATGACCATACTGATATTTTTTAATATATTTTTATATATTTTTAAAAGCAGTGGAAACTAAAATCTCTACATTCATCTAAAAAAGCTTATACCCAAAGGATATATACAACTCCTCAATAAATTGTATATCATATTCTTAAGTTAATATATAAACAATAAGGTTCATTGTGACATACACAGTAATCAATATTGTGTAGAGCGGTATGCATCAATGGTTAGCAAGAGAACAGGGAGCCCATGTGTCAAAAATGGGTGGGTGGTGGGCGCCAGGACACATTTGGCATAACCTCACCAGTACCCATGTAAATGGGTGCTGTTGTCATTTTATGATGGCCAGATGGACTCAAATAAACTTTAGACCCTTTATATGAACTTCTTAGCCACAATGTATATTTCAATCAGGGTATAAATTCCCAATATCAGCCATAAATAGCATCAAGTCCCGATCGTATCAAAGTTGCTGTCCACCTTACTTTGCGCCGTGTACCCTGCAATGGTGTATCCCCACTGTAGCATGGGCTTCCTGTTCTTTTGTTAACCATTGATGCATTTATACCAAACTGAGCTAATATTATATACCTACCTCTGCTCCTAAGGAAGCGGTAATTACCGTGAAACGCATAGAGCAGGTTATCTACACCCCTCTACACAATATCAATTACTGTGTAGGCTCTTTTAAATGGATGTAGAGATTGGCGTTTTTGCTGCTTTTAAAAAATTGTTGCACAATTTTTATAATATGTTTTTGTGATAAAGGTGTTTTTACATATATCAGTATGGTCAGGGCCGGATTTATCCTCGCCCCGTCGTGATTGGATGGCGGCCGCACACTACGGTCCGCCGCCGGGACACCTTACACTTGCGCCCGCAACTTCCCCACAAGGTCATCGCTGCTGCCCCTCTGCGCTTTGCCGCCCTGAGGCCGGGCCTCGGTGGCCTTGTGGGAAATCCGGGCCTGAGTATGGTCATGTTTTAGCCTAAAAAGTCCACTATTCTGTTTTTTTTTTCTGAATACTTAAATACATATACAACAGGAGGGAAGATTTAAAAAAAATCCCCTCTTAGACTGTTCACCAGAACAAGTCTTCCAGTTGGAAGATTTCTGCTCTATTACTGTTCTGGTAAAAGTCGTAAAATTTTGAATTTCCTATTACTTTCTGTCTCAGTGGCAATGGTTACTAGGACAAAAAGAGATCATGCATCTCCCCAGCAGGGAAACAAACAGCAATAGAGGCATGACAGGGGTTCTATTACTTCCTTACTCTATCCAAAACTATAAAAATTGCTTTTTGAGTAAATTGAACCTTGACACTACCATAATCTCAAAGTGACACTAAACTCAGGAATTAAATCTTAAAAATGAATTAACTATTAACAAAAATTGTGCTTATTTGTGCATTACTCAGCTGTAGATCCTAAAATCATCTTTCAATTCATGCTGATGCTCTCCTTTCTTCTAGATAGTGTATACTTTTGTTCCCCAGTGGTCCCTGTTGTAAAGTAGCCACTGCTCCAAGCTCGCTCCGGAGATGGACTACAATCTCTATACAAATTAGTAAACAAAACATGAGATTTTAGTCCATTACGGAAGGGAGCTTTCTTATGTGAGTGGCAGCTACACTGGCGGAACAACCAGGGTCGTAGCAGTCGCAATCGCGACCGAGCCCCCGGCATTCCGCCAGTTGGGGGGGGGGCCCAGAGAGAAAGAAAGCCTGCAGATCCCTCAAGCTGCCCGCAGCGTTTGTGGCCATGGGCGGTTGATTAGAGACCAACTTGGTGGCGCGTGTGCGTTCGGGAGCCCTGCTGTAATTGCTGTAACGTCAGGCCAGTGAGAAGCCTTAGGAGCCCTATGACGACACGGCGCATGCGCTATGGATAAACTGGCGCTGTGCAGAGGAGACAGATGCCGCTGGAGAGGTATAGTGTCCTGTTACCAGGACAACCAGCTCTCTCCAACGTGACACTGTGGCGTCCTTTCTAGCCCACCTCTCTCCGTGACAGAAGCGGCATTTTCCTGGTACAGAAACCCACTCTGGTCTTTGTGATTTTATGCCTTTTCTCCATTTAGAATGTGAGTTCTGTTATGAGTATTACTTCAACATTGCATCTTCTTTTTTCTTCACTTTCTGTGTACGACCCCCTCCCACTGATATTTCCCCCCACACAAACTACACTTGTATACTACTTCCCATACCCCACTACCTTTATTATAAGTTATTGCTGGGACTTGTAGTCCTACATAGATGGTGGTATTCTGCATTGCTGTATAATCATCAATGCAGAATAACACCAACCATGCAGGACTACAAGTCCCAGCAATGCATTATATTTTTAAGTAGGGATACACCAGTGCCAATACTATGAGTATTGGCACTGGTGTATGAGTACTTCACGAGTACTCATACTCGTGAAAATGCCCCGATACTAAACGCAGATACCGATGTTCTGTCAAGAATGCCCAACGTAGTCGAATTTGCCAACCTCAGCATCTGCGCTTGTGCACAGACAAGTATTATCGAGGAAACCAGGATTTATTTACAAAGTATTTCGTATAAATCGTTAATTGTGACTGTTAATATTATACCATCCATCATTTACTGCCATGGATGGCATATTAAGGGTCACAATTAAGGATTACACACTAATACTTTGTAAAGAAATGCCGGTTTCCTCGATAATCCCATCTGTGCGCAAGCGCAGATACTGGGTCGGCGTTCTCGACAGAACACCGGCATTCAATTTTTAAACTGAAGCAGCTGCCTGAGGTCCCGCTCTTGCTGGGGACCTCGACAGCCTTCCTGTTAACCACACAGTGCCATGGCGGCGGGGGGTTGGGGGGGCCCTTAATAGTTTCTTGCACCAGGGCCCTGAAGGTTCTAGTTATGCCTCTGGGTAGCTACTTTACAACATGCACAGGGACCATGGGGGAAAAAAGTAGCCACCCTCCAGAAGAAAGGACAGTGTCAACATGAATTCAGATATATACAGCTGAGTGATACACAAATGAGATACATTTTTGTTAATAGTTAGGTTACTTGAATGCGTTTTTAAGATTTAACTTCTGAGTTTAGTGTCACTTTAACCCTTAGACCATACCTAAAAAAACACTTAAACTTCACACTAAAATTTACCCTATCCCTTCGCCTCCTAACTCTCACCATAACTTTAACTTCTGACCTTAGTCCATAGCCCTAATATGTAACTCTAAGTCAACCCAAATTGCATATACCGTGTTTCCCCGAAAGTAAGACCTACCCCGAAAATAAGACCTAGTTCGGGGTAGGTCTTATATTACAGACATCCCTGAAGATAGCGCTAGGTCTTACCTTCGGGGTAGCTGCACATGTAACTAGATTTTACATGTGAAGACCGGCCGCAGCTCCCTCCCGCCCCCCTGCCAGACACGCCCCCCCGCCTAAGGAGAAACACAGGTGGGCGGGCGGGAGGCGTGTCTGGCAGGGGGGCGGGAGGGAGCTGCCTCTCCGCTCTGATGCCATCCAGAGAGCAACAGATAGATTGGCGTGCGGGTAGGTGGGCGGGCGAGGGGGCGGGAGGGAGCTGCCTCTCCGCTCTGATGCCATCCAGAGAGCAACAGATAGATTGGCGTGCGGGTAGGTGGGCGGGCGAGGGGGCGGGAGGGAGCTGCCTCTCCGCTCTGATGCCATCCAGAGAGCAACAGATAGATTGGCGTGCGGGTAGGTGGGCGGGCGAGGGGGCGGGAGGGAGCTGCGGCCGGTCTTCACATGTAAAATCTAGTTACATGTGCAGCTACCCCGAAGGTAAGACCTAGCGCTATCTTCAGGGATGTCTGTAATATAAGACCTACCCCGAAAATAAGACCTAGTGTCTGTTTTCGTGAAAAAAAAATAAATAAGACACTGTCTTATTTTCGGGGAAACACGGTATATAAATTCATATTTTTACTTTAAATCCACACCTAACTTGTAATTTACAAAGTATTAGGTCATCCTGCTCCAGAAAATCAAAACTGCACAGTAGCTGAACAGTATCTCCTTCAACATAAACAGCTCTATTGTTCTCAGAATTAAAATTAGGTGAAAAGAGCCCCCAACATCTACCCCACCTGTCTATTAATTGTTCAAAATCCTACCCTTCGTGTGTTTTTTTATTTTATTATTATTTACACCAATTATCTACTCTTAAATCTATGAACTAAATTACGTGAATTACAGATTTATTTTATTGTGAAGAAAATGTTGGCTTTTAGTTTTTGTAGCAACGTTAATTGATGTGAAATAAATCGGTTATACTTGTCTTCACAGGGCAATGATGTGCGGATAATAATTGGGCAGTTTGATGAACATATGGCAGCTAAAGTCTTCTGTTGTGTAAGTACACTTATACTCTAATTTATAAAAAAAAAAAAAAACTCCAAATTATTGAATCAATAAAATATAAATAGTTTCTAAATAAGATCGCTTTATCATTATGGCCTAGCATAGAACCATAGTACGTTTTTTTTCCTGGGGCAACTAAGAAAGGGGAAAACTTAAATGGCAGAAGATAGGAAGACAGTTTATGCAGTAAAGATTATTTGCATACCATCTCTCTAGGACAAGATAATCTCTATTTCAAAATCTCTTCTAAAGCAAAGTTGCCCGTGATCAAATCATTCATTTGAAATAATAACATTTTAGTTTCTTTAAGTGGATTACTTAATCAAAATCAATTTAGTTTAGGGAGGGAAAACATTTTTATTTCTTACATTATGAAGTTCTATCATTATATTGCTAACCCAAATTAGAAAACATATTTTGATTGCTCAACTACCTTGATATGGGAACACAGTAGTTAGATCTTGGCCCAGCTCATAGGCCCAGCTCAGTAATTTAATAGCAGCAGTTTTGCTAGGAATGACCAGTTTTGAATGAGCTTAGGCGACCAGAGTTAAGACAAAAGTCTATCAGCAAAGCTAAAATACTCATTACAGTAAACCTGTATTTGGCCAAAGCACGCACAGTAGATACAAATTAGAGTTTACTGTGCAGGCTATGGCCAGTGGTCCAGCCTAGACACCCAATATCTATGGGGTCTGCTCTTTACTTTGAAGAAGGAATCATATGGTTTAGGCAAAAATTTTTTCTGCAGATGCAGAACCTGCTCACCCCCTATTAGTTGTTGTGTATAACCTCTGCCCCTCCCTTTAGGCCTGCCTGGCATTATGAATACAGGGAATGCATTAACTTTATTATCAGTTATGGAAGTAGGGGGGTTGAGGATTTGGTGCATTTAAGAATGTTCTGATTAATGCACTGTAATGCACAAGTATGCAGTGATGTGCTGCAAACAAGGTTGGGGCGTCAGCAGGTTCATGCTGCTGACAAAAAAAAGTCTCTAGCAAAATTATATTAAAATAAAGGTTGCTTAATGAAGGAAGAACATATTTTTGCAACCTGACATGTGGTATTCCTTTTACTGCTATTATTGAGCAACTGAAGTTGTTGGACACAATCTGCCCAGAATTGTTTCCCAGTACTATACAGCACTGGGCATAGTGCTTGTCAGCATACATGTTCTGTATAGCAGTAACTATCTCTCCCTGCAAAGACTGTGTGATCTTTCCCTATCCCTCCCAGTCTACAACACAGTGACTATATAGCAGTTTTAGGCAGAAGTACTCTATTGTGATAGTATGCCAGCAACTTTATCTTTTTGTAAAGACTGTGGTTTTTCCCCCTCTGCTCCAAGTATACAACACACATAGACTAACTGTGTATTTGACTGACTAAATATAGCAGTTTCAAGCATAGGTACTGTATATCAGTATTATGCCAGCAACGTTCTCTTCCTGTAAAGAACTCTCCCTATGTGCTCTAAGTTTGCAGCACACACTGACTGGCTGTAAATAGAGCCGTTTTAAGCAACAGTACAAATAGAATAGCAGCAAATATCTATCCCTGCAAACATTGTATAATCTATCCCTATCTACTCCAGGCCTATCCAACACACAACAATTATGTATGTAAGTCGCCGTAACTATAAAGGTTTTCAGTAGCATTAACTACTTCCTTCAAAAAGTCAGTGATCTCTCTCTATGTACTAGATGCCTCCTACAACACACACTGAACAAGAACTGCTGGGAACCAGGACTTACAGTATATTGGTAGGAAGCTGGAACATAACATAAAAATTCCATGATTAGCCCTTCTATGCTACCTAACCACAGTTTAGTGGCTAGTAAGTGCATTGTTAGTAAAGGGTTGCTATGAGTGAGAATGGCCGCATTAGATTACAATATTCTCAGTCCACATTCAAATTTCTGCAACTTTCATTTGGGTCGAAATCATGGTCATCCTGGCTCAAGCTCATGCCTTTTTTGGGAGTGTGGGATAAGTTAGGCATACTTACTCAAACTTATATTAATGTGAACATGATACTTTACTGAAATTGGGCAAAGTACAGGTCCATCTTAAAGTAATCCTGCCATCCATTCTTAATATCTTGAACTGAAAGTGCTGCTTAAGAATCTTGACTTTCTTAATGTAGGGCCTAAATAAATGCTATTAAACTGTTATTTTAGTAGTGATTTTGCATTGGTTGACGAACCCTTTAGCCATTAGGCCTATTCAATGTGAGAGCAAAAATTAAGACATTAATGACCTTAGTAAAATTTTAGCTTTGTATAAAGTGAGTCAAGAGACTTTCCTTCATACATAGACTATCTGCTGCATTCAGATGAATGGCTAGAAGCAATAAAACCTAAGCTTTACACATTGCTTGCTTTTGATTTCAAAGCATTTCACACCTATAGAATAGCTTATGAACCCATTTTCACTTCCATGAAAATATTCAATTTGTATTCCGATTGTGATTCTTATGGGGAATATTTATTCACAGTATGAGCATAAGCCAGTACCGCTGGGGTCTAAACAGTGTATAACAAATTACTTTCCATGTGGATAAAAAATAACATTTATATGATCAAAGCTTCAACTGTCATTGGTCTTGGTTGCAGCAGTTCTATACTTATTATATGTACCTTTGATTATGCACATCTAGCTGGCAATAGGACAAACATGCTTCAGAGATCTTAAAATTCCCACCGGACACTAAAAGCATCTTGAATTAATTACAGCATAATTATGGAAAATTACAAAGTAAGACGGGAAATATTTTTGCTAAATACGGTACTATCTTTTTACATTTATTATTTACCCTATGTTTATGCTACAGGAAAATGCTCAAAGATGCAGTAATATTTAGTCAAGTAATACAAATAGATTAAAATCCTATGATAATGCATAATCCTATGCATTAGAGTCTGTGATAATACAGTCAACAATATAACAGCAGCATGCAAAAAAGGAGCAATATATGTAGCCGTTAAAGTGATCTTCCAGTGATAGCTGCTCTTGAAGTGAGACTACCGGATATCACCCTTGTGACCGTGCCAAGATCACCACCATAAGACCAGAAAGTTGGACCTCAAATTCTCAGAGGTCAAAATGCACTTTTTTTTTAATAAAGTGGATACACCGGACATCTCCAACCAGTGTCAAAAGGTTCCTGGTGTATTGTGCCTTTGGAAACCAATTCTCTCAGTCTAGTGTAAAACACTCCCAGGAGTATTCCAAAAACATAGAAAAGGAAAGACTCCAGTGGTGCAGAATATCAATATTTGAAACAACATAAAAACTGGCAATTATTTTCATAAAACCACTATCACCCACTCTGAGCCGACAGTGCATGATGTCAGTGTCAAAGCTACACCTACACTGAAAAGACATCCTCAGGGACCAAAATCACTAACTATACACATGTATTAAATAGACAGGATGCACAGCAGGTAACCTGCTGTGTTACCTGCTGTGCATCCCATTTTCATGTTTTTTTCCTTAGCAAACCCATAATACTCTGCAAATCCTATGTCATGGGTGCACCATTATTATAGACCCTGTCACCACAACTTGATTTTCATAAAAAATCTTCCTATAGGATTATATGTGCATTTTACATGTTAGTTACCTGCAAACTCCTCCCTTGTGTAGACATTAATAACCCCTGAGACTGCTGGATGCCACCATCTTGGATGTTATGTCAGCATCCCTAGCAGATTTAGAGTTGCCACTCAAGTGACATGCTATAGTGTTCCCTTCACTCCTCCCCCAGCAGCTACATGAAAGAGTATGTAGGTAGGTGGCCGAAGAACTCGCCCAGCACAGACAGTAATGAGATACTCAGAAAGAGGGAGGGCCTTGAAGTGCAAAGAGGGAGGGGGCTGGGCTAGAGAAATGACTCTTCTAATGTAGTCACATTTTCTAGCAAGTTCAAAGGCACATTGCCAGTGAATAAAAAAAATTGTGGAAAGAAAAAACTCCAAGTAATCACTTAAAATACCTTATGTCTAGGCATTATAGATTGCCCTGTCTTTGGCAACCAGGAGTGCTGTGGATGTTTCACAAGATTATATGCTGCAAAGAGTCCATTGTTCTGTACGAAAGAGGCCCTGCCTACTGAATTTAAATTGAGACAGAAGGACCAAAATGCCACATCAATATGTATCGTTATGCATATATAATGAACAAAGCTCTTAAATACACATTTATAATGTGATAGGTTTTCTTACATTAAGATTATGTTTAATAATACAAAATTTAAACACAGTTCTTCTTTAACAATGGTGCACTGAGCTAGTGAAGACAGACAAAAAAAAGGAATAGGTGATTTATAATACAGTCTGCCAGTATTTATCCATTGTAGTTCTACAGTGACATATCCCAGGGACTGGGGATAGGTGGCAGAGGTTTAGGCTTATTTCTGTTGACACACACGGACAGGTGCAGAAAAACTATCTTTAGGGTAATTTAACAATCTCTATTAAAGCATCAAAACACACGGGGAAAGTAAAAAAACAAAACAAAAAAAAACTGTTCTTATTTCTATTCTACTAGACAAAACGAGCATTTAGCTATTGCAGTCACTTTGAAGGGGGTCCTCACTGCAAGGGTATTTCTTTTTTACAGCCTGGAGTTCAGCTTTAACTGTTCCCTACTTTATCCAAAACTAAAATAAGCTTTTTGTTAGAATTGGGTTTTTGTGATTTTTAATAAACACTGTTAATCGAACAGAGAAGTGTCTGACCCGTTTAGTATCTTCCGGGGTACAAGACAGGGTTATCCCCTCTCCCCTATCCTCTTTGCCCTGGCAATTGAGCCTCTGGCGATTAGGGTACGGGAGTCTGTCTCTATACATGGCTTGAGGATACGTGACCTGGAAGAGCGAATCTCCCTGTATGATGATGATGCGCTGATTTATCTATCTGATCCGAATGACTCCCTATGTCACCTCCTCCAGCTACTGGACTTATTTGGAACCTTTTCAGGGTTCA